TGGGAGCGTTGGGGTGTTCAGCCTGGAGAAGAGAAGGCTCCAGGGAGACCTGAGAGCAGCTTCCAGTGCCTGAAGGGGCTCCAGGAAAGCTGGGGAGGGGCTTGGGACAAGGGCAGGGAGGGATGGGAGCAGGGGGAAGGGTTTCCAGCTGGCAGAGGGAGCTGGAGCTGAGATGGGAGGGAGAAATTCTGGGCTGTGAGGGTGGGGAGACCCTGGCCCAGGTTGCCCAGGGAAGCTGTGGCTGCCCCATCCCTGGGGGTGTTGAAGGGCAGGTTGGATGGGGCTTGGAGCAGCCTGGGCTGCTGGGAGGTGTCCCTGCCCATACAGGGGGTTGGGACTGGATGATCTTGAAGGTCTCTACCAACCCAATCCACTCTATGATATCCAATTGATAAAAATGTCAGTTCCTAAACAAAAATCCATGGAAAACCCACAGCAATGTGGACACATGGCTTCAGTTCTCTGTCTTAGTCCAGGCACAGGTTTATTGAATTAGCTGTTGTGATGCACATTTAGCTCCTAAGACAAAGTCCCAGGTTAGCAGGATTTTAACACTGTCTGCTTTTATCAGGCTAAAGGGATGAGTCCCTGGTATCACATTTATGTGAGTATGAACATTAGGATCCCATTTCAAGGGCATTTAATTTCACATCAAACACAGGCAGCCCCAACAGCCTGTCTTGCTTTTTCACAGGACACAAATGATGTATAAAATTGCCAAGATCAGTTGTGCTCAGGAGAACTGCTACACAGTGCTGGCAATCCTGAAACTCCCCCAAAAATGCAACTTGCAGACATTTATGACAGAGCAAATCTGTTCCTATATCTTTTCAGATCAAGCACCAGGCTGAGGTGCAGCTCTTAATAAATGTAAATGAATAGTTCAAACTTGGCAAAGCAATTCTGAATGCTCAGCCTGCAGAGCAGCTGGGATTTTTTTCATTCCACTGTGCTACAAACAAGTATTTCACAACTTGCTCCCCCTGCCTTTATATCAAGCCCAGATGTTAAACCCAGCAGG